GTTTAGGGTTTAGGAGGGTTCAGGAGGGGGCCTCGTACATGTTGAGATTAAAGTAGAGGCTGGGAGCTCAAAAATGGTGATCCGCCAATGAAATCCAAGTCTGGGCACTGGCAAAACTTCAATGGCAGAATCTCTTGCCTCGATGTACTGCCTTCGTACGAAGTTTAAACACCCCCCACCCACCCTTAATATCAAATATTCCGCATAAAAGACCTTATGCTGGGGGGCAGATTTGATATTGAGCATCTGCATGTGTGTGCGTGTGTGTGTGTGTGTGCGCTTAATCTTGTCATTGTTCGGATCGCCCACTTCTTGATTAGGGTTTAAGGTATAGGGTGGCGTCTGTGCCAACTGTATGCTTTGCAAGCCCTTCTGATATGGAATTTGGGTCCTTGAGGGTTCTGATTTCTGCACTGTTAACCAACAGAAGAAGAGACCTGCATGATGGCTCATGCATTTCCCTGCCATGATCCAAAGTATACCAGCAATTAACACAAAAAAAGTGGCAGGACCACCGAAACTTCCAGCTGCATGAATGAGGACGTGCATGTCCGTGATCCTTGGGTCGGACCATGCTATCGAAATTATAGAACTTCGTCAAACAGCGACCTAAATGCAGCCTTCACGTTGGAAATTGGAATCGGGCCTCCGCGGCCTCGTGTCCGAAAGCTTCCGCTTCCGCCTGCATGTGCGAATCTCCCGTATTTGAAGGACTGACCGAAACTTAGTGCTCCTGGAAAGACGTGCGTTGTGTTCTAGAACTTCGCCCAACACCGACCCAAATACAGCTTTCACCGTGGAAATTGCAATCGGGCCTCCTCGGCCTCGTGTCCGAAAGCTTCCGCTTCTGCCTGCATCTGCGAATCTCGCGTATTTCAGGGCCCCGGTGCATGTGGCGATTAGGGAACTAGTTGACGATCAAGCAACAGGGTGCCACAATGACATCCCAAAGGGGTTTCTTTTTTGCATTGCATGACTTGGGAGTTATTCGAACAGCCCTTTGTGTTAACAATCCACCCTAACCCGCACTAGGAAGAGCTAGCCAGCCAGACGACCGAAACTTAGCGCTCCTGAAAACATGCTTCTGAACGTCTTCCAACACCGACCCAATACAGCATTCACTGTGGAAATTGCAATCGGGCCTCCTCGGCCTCGTGTCCGAAAGCTTCCGCTTCCGCCTGCATCAACCGGGCATGTGGATCAGGGAACAAGTTGACGCTCAAACAACATGGTGCCACAATGACATCCCAAAGTGGTCTGTTTTTGCATTGCATGATTTGGGATTGATCTCGAACAGCCCTTTCTTTCAATAATCCACCCTAATCCGCACTAGCTCTAGACGTGCTTTGGTGTTATAGAACTTCGCCCAAGACCGACTCAAATTCAGAATTCACTGTGGAAATTGCCATCGGGCCTCCTCGGCCTCGTGTCCGAAAGCTTCCGCTTCTGCCTGCATCTGCGAATCTCGCGTATTTCAGGGCCCCGGTGCATGTGGCGATTAGGGAACAAGTTGACGCTCAAACAACATGGTGCCACAATGACATCCCAAAGTGGTCTGTTTTTGCATTGCATGATTTGGGATTGATCTCGAACAGCCCTTTCTTTCAATAGCCCACCCTAATCCGCACTAAGAAGAGCTAGCCATCCAACGAAACATCGAGCTCGTGAAAGTACTTCTGTGCAATCCTTGAGTCGTACTGTGCTGTCGAAATTTCAGAACTTTGTCCACACATGGGGGATTGTCAAAATTATGGTCCTTTTTTGGGTCCCTAGTATAATACGGGGCCTAATACGGGGCCTAATTTGGGGGACCCAAAAAGGGACCATAATTTTGACAATCCCCCACATGCCGCCTTCACAGGGGAAATTGCAATCAGGCCTCCTCGGCTTCGTGTCCGAAACCTTCTGCGTCTGCCTGCATGGGCAATCTCCCGTATTTGAGGGCCTGGATGCCTTTGGTGATTAGGGAATAAGGGGATGATCCAACAACGGGGTTCTACAGTGACTACAATGACATCTTAACATAATATTGGACCCCCCCCTCTCTCAAGAACCCACTGTAATTCGCACTAGGAAGAGCTGGCCAGACGACCGAAACATCGAGCTGCATGAAAGATGTACAGATCCGTGATCCATGAAGAAGTACTATGCTGTCAAACGCTAGCCTAAATGCAGCCTTCACTGTGGAAATTGCGAACACCTCCTCGGCCTGGTGCCGAAAACTTTCGCTGCAAATCTCCCATGTTTGAGGGCGCGGGCGCAGTGATCGTTGGGGTATAAAACGATTTCAAATGACATGCCTCTTCAAAAGCATCCTGAGGTGGTACTACTATAGCACCCCTATGTAATATGTGATTTCCCTTTTTGCCATTGCTATGACAAGGGAGTTCTTGAAGAATTGGCACCTAGTATGGTTGAGGGTTTAGCATTTAAGGCATTCCGAGGACAGATGAAACAAAACAACTGCACAACCTAACACCTCAATCAGTCCCCCACCACTGGGATATCAAAAGTTCCATCCGAAAAGCTAGCTGTCTCAAGTCCAATGCCTAGCCTCCAGCTACCTATCGCGCTGGCCGAAAACAAAGGGGCTGCTAACCTTACAGCTCAGATTTTTCCGGTCCTGCCTGAGGCATGGGACCTCATGAATGTTTGGAGGAGTGGCTGTGGATAGTGAACCTTTTGGAACAGTGGTCACGCGCCTACTGCCATGCAACCGTTCATGCAACCTTCATTGTCATTGTCTGGGTTGCTGTTCAGGAATCTAAATTAAGTTACCATAAGGAACTTAAATTAAGTTACCATAATGGGTATATGGTGAATAATATGGTTCTCCGAATATAGTAACTTAAACTAAGTTCCTTCAGAGCAACCCAGTTGTGGAAACACTCTTCTCTGGTCAAAACTTTGTGAGGGGATGAGCAGAGCAACCTGACACAACACCGTACACACTGCTGCAGTGGGCTACAGGATTTGACATCCCTAGCCCCTTAAACCCTCATCCCTAAAGCCCACTTCTACCTCTGCGGCCTCCTGTCCGAAACCTTCAGTTTCGGCCTGCAGCTGGACATGGCTCAGAATTCAAGATGTAGCGTTTGTGGTTAGGCTGCTCCGCATAGGAAGTTTATGGGGGTTATAATGGCTATTTAGTTTGTGGCTTTATGGTTGCGGCTTGTATACTTATGGAAGATGTAAAGGTTCTCGGTACACAGCCCCAGAAGAGATTGTCTCTATCAGGAAGCCATCACGTGTGGCAAAGTCTTGCCCCCGATGGCTTGAGAGTCAACACCTAAGCCCTAACCCCTAAACGGCTAAACCCTAAGCCCTAAACTCTAAATTCACCCAACAGCCTGAGTGACAGGGGTCCTATATTTTTACCCTGCCGCCATATTATGAGCTACAGCCTGTATTGCCCAATAATCAATGGACACGGGTTCCTTATTAGGGACGATGTTGGGGACTATACTAAACTGCAAGAGGGACGCCTATGTCCACTGTTAAAGGTCCTTTCACGATAACGCTAATATTGACAGTAGCTCAACCCTAACCGCAAAATTTGACAGTAACTAACTAATTTAAGGAGTGGGGAGAAGGGACCGAGGCCGGGCGTCCCTGCCCGTAGCTGTTGAGCTGCATCTACAAGAATCAACCCCAAGCAGCACTTTCTAAACAAGCGATAATATCAATAATAGTAATAGTACTAGTAGTAATGATAGTAGTAGCAGTAGTAATATAGCTGCCTAACCAATGCTGAGGAATTCAAGACTTCTTGCACCAGAACGGTCATTTTTGAATCCGCGTTTCGTCCTAGAAGCTGGCTGCTTGCAGTGCCAAACGCTAAACCCTACACCGTAGCTCAATCGAGTAGCATCCATTTCGGTGGTCGAACCAAATAAGGTAATTCTTTAGGAATAGAATACGCAAAAGAGGGATATAATCTTACACCATATAAGGGACCACAGTGTCCCTGAATAAAATACCACGCAGTTGAGAGAAGATCAGAGGACGTCCTTCTTAGCCCTGCAGGTGTATGAGGGAAGCGGTTTAGGGTTTGCTCTTGAAGGCTTTGTATGCAACATCCCTCCACTAAGGTACCTACAAATAATAGAATCTCTATTGCCTTACAGGGACTATATAGGGATTAGAGGTAATGACAACCAGAATGATTTTCAAAAACCCTGCCCCTGTCCAGCAACAGCAAGATGCCTCGTAGGGAATCAACAAAATAAATTCCTTCCAGCTTCTTAGCAATTTGGCTGGTCGTCTACCTCAGCATTCTTTACAGAGAGTCTCAGGAAGGGTGGCTTCCCCGCAGAACTCGCGCCTCCTCGCCCTCACCCTCGAAAGTGTCAGCTTCCGCCTGTGTCTGGGCGGTATTGCTTTTTGTGTCAATCCCAAGCCTTATATCGTTGTTGCACGTTGTTGCCGGGGACACAATTACAACTCTTGGGAAAATCTATTCCTCCGTGTCGAAATCTGCATTACTCTATCCCTGTTCCTCAGAATTCAAGAGAGGCTTGGGGTTTGTAGGGCTTTAACACGATTTAAAGTTCACCCCTAAGCCCCGTAACCCCAAGCCCCTAAACCCAACAACTTTGGCGCTACTCTGAACAAATTAAGCACTACACTCAGCACTCCGAAGCACAAGACCTTGAAGCCCTAAAACCTGCACCCCAAAGCCCTGGATTAGAACACAAGTCAACACTTAACCCAGCAACCCAAAAATAGACGCCATAAATCCCCAAACCCCAAAAGCCGGAAATTCAGATCCTGAACCTTGGGCCCCTGTATCATATGCCTCAAGGCCTAACAAGATCTTTACTCAGCTGCAAAATCTAGACCAAACCCCTGAACCTTGAATCCCTAAACCCGAGACCCCCTCCTGGAACTCAGAAGGTTTAGGGTTTAGGGTTTAGGGTCCACTCTACACTCCTCAACGTGTTTAGGGTTTGGGATTATTTGGGATTTGGGGCTATTTGCGGTTTAGACTTAAGGGCCTCATAGGTGATCTACCAGTCTGGCTAGGGGTGCCATCATAGTTGTATGGCTCATGAGTTCTTCTACTAATGCCCTCTCCTGAAAATAAACCTCCCACCCGCTTAATGATGACTGTTCGCTCACTAATATACTATGACACGCTTTGGGGAGGTTATCATTAGGGGTGGGGTGGAATTATAACCCTAATTCTACGCCCCAGATCGTAGTTTACATGCTCTTTCCAGTCCCCATTAGAAAATCCCTTTAAAGTCCCCATACATCCCTATATGATCCTTAAAAATCCCTGTGCAATGCCTATAGGTCCCTAGGGGAGGTGATTACCCCTAAGATCAAACCCTAAAAACCCGAGACCCCAAAACCCTAAACCCGTATCCATAAGGGTGGTTCCCAATTTTTGGGTCTCGTTTTGGTACTCCTTAATCTTAAGTGCCGGAGTATACTCCATAATCAGAAGGGGCCCATAATTTTGAGAATTACCCATAAAGCCCTTCTAAACACTAAACCCTAAAACACAATCCTGAGCCTGAAGCCCTAGACCCTAAACCCTGCAACCCTGAAACCCTAAACCCTGCAGAATCCTCGGTAAGGTGCCCTAGCCTCCGCTGCCTCCACGGTGCCGAAGGCCTCCGCTTCGCCCTGCAACATGGAATATTACGGGACTATAGTCTCCCTTAAGTAGATAGAATATGGCTTTAGTTATATTATAATAAGATCCCCGTATACCCCCACATTCTATATACTTTAGGGGGACTATGTGTAGGAATTCTAAGAGGGAATGGACAACAACATGCGCTTTTGGCGGCGTTTAGGGGATTATGATTCAGGATGTGGGGTATTCAGGCACGGCTGTTCA